TTGAGGTGATCTATTGAGGTGACGGATTACTGCTTCCAATATAAAATCATTATACACATGCAATGCATGCTGCCACCGTCTCGCTTGCAAACAAAAATTTGCCATCATTAAATGATTTACACGCGCAGCGGACTGAGATTTCAACGTTCCTAATGCATGCATAAAACAGCCCATATAAACACCATTTGTACAACTGGTGATAGTTTACATACTATTTTGACACACCGGTACACACCCAGTTGGAGTATGGTAGTACGGGTGAAACCCATCTAGGGAATAACCCGCATGGAAGCAAGTCCCCTGGAGACGGTTCTATGACTGGCCCTATTACTTTATTTAAATTGTTGGCTAAATCTGCATTTGTTATTGTTCCTGTTTTCTTAATCAATCTAATGCCTTCAAACTGCTTTTCAGTTCAGAACCCCTTTGGGACCCGTGGTACAAAACATGAACAATCAACTATTTTATGCGATCTCGATGTACCAATTAAGCAATCTCCTCAGTTTGAATGTGTCTGGCACCGAGGTAGAATAAAAGGTTTGTTTATTTACTTATTTTTGCAAACCTTAAAGAGTAGCACTGAGAAATTATACATGAGTTAACTCGCTTCTGTACACAATAAGTTGCGTATTTTAAATAACACTAAAGTATAATGGAAGAGCTGAATACTAACAATTACTTGCAGTGATGCGCTCGTAATTTAGCATCATATTCTACTTATCGGTTTGCCCACTGTGCTCAAGTATTTCTAATCGCACGTCCGAGTCCCTGCCGTACGTACGTAATATGTCGCCATAAATTGTATATGTGTATACTAAAGGAAAATAAATTTCTCTAGTTCGTTATAACGCAGCAAGTTATTTCAGCAAGTTATTTCGTCTACTAGCATCAAGGAAATGCACATATAAAACTAGGCAAAAATTTGTCTCCGACTAGGAGAGCTAGGTTAAATTTGGTCTAGTCTGAACCGACTGCCTATTTCGCCGAGATGACTTTGTAATCCTCTGCGATATTCACGCATGGGCACATGCAAGCTTATTCTCCAAATACACGATGGTTTCTCGGTCCGAAGCAGTGACGGAGTTTCTGCGTCTGATCAGTGTAAACGGCGCCCAAAATGATATTACAGCCACGTCATAATAAGAGAGAGACTGCATCAACATCCATTGATTTCACTGTACATGATGCATAGACTTGATGACAATCAGCTCGGTTGTCATTAGTGGTCGTTATTTAAAGTCGTTAATAAGCCGCGCCAAACGGCGTAGCAAAATTTGAACACAACTGTTGCGAAAAATTGATGATCAGTTTAGACTAACTTTGCTAAAATATAACCAGCAGCACTTCTAACGGTGAGTATCCAAATTGATGCAATGTGGTGTTTTGGCATCTGATTTTGTAAGTCTCTCATCCAGTATCCGAGGTGTGTTGGACCACTGGTCCGGGCAATATACTACAGATTAGAGGACTCTAAAGTTTTTGCAGTCTATCTAAAAGACACAGTAATAGACGGGAAGGTTTCTGCCATCACCTTTGGGTAGCCTGAATTGAAGGACTTGGCCTCAGTCTTTGACTGTCTCCTGTAAACTGACACGAAGTGGAAATCCGCGATGATGGAGTAAGCTAGGCAAACATAACTTTGCGGCATTGTTAGTGAGTAGTATGTTTCAACGAACAGGCGCGATGAACTCCGCGAATAATAGATCACCGCGGAAGACGAGCGCGTAGTGCGCAATGCAATCAGCCATGGAAATGGATGATGCTTGAGTTTCAGACCCTTACTACACAGTAACGGTAACCTGAGTTGATAGCACACAGTGGAGCGTAGAATCAAATGACACCAAGAATGAAGTGCTCAAATGCGTCCGACCGTTCTGTGTCCGAAATGTTACACTATGTATACGTTCGTTCTCTAATACGCAAATTGATAGCACTGCGCCGCTATCTTCAGGGTTGGTGCCGTGATGATTCGGAAATAGAAGATGGGGATCCCGCGGCCGGGGCTATTTTAGAGTAGGGTGGTATGGAGGTTCATGGATGACTTTGAAGGTGTTGCTTGAGCAGTCGGGGAGATGCGAGAGCTGGAAAAGCTTTTTGCGCCCCAGCGTCCATTCAAGGGTCGAGCGAAGGCAATCCTGGAGGCGACATTGGAAGGCCCAGTCCATTTGGAATGGACCGCGGCGAATGAGGCGGTGATGGCGTGGTTCAACAGTCCGGCCGACCATGAGGGTGCGATGTGACGATTCAAAGCGGCCCGTATTAAGCTAAGAGCAGATCCGTCGCTAATTGCGATCCATCTTCGCGACTGGTTGGATCGGACGCTACCAGGTTTGTACGAAGCGTTAATACAGCAAACGTTAGTGGAGCCGATTCTGGACGGTCCATATCTGACGATGGAGGAACTGTTGCTGATTGTGAACACCATCCGGAGAACTGGCATGGTGGAACTTGCTTGAGTGGCAAGTATGTTGGCACAAGAGACATTGACGGCATAGAGAAACGAAGAGCAAATGGACGGTAAGCGCTTGGATAGTTTAGAAAAGAAGTTGGAGCTGGTTACGCAAGACATAGGAACAATTCGAATTACCCCTCAGAGGACGCGGTAAATTAAGCGATGCTTCTTCTGTGGGAAACTGGGTCACTGTAAGATACAATGCCCGGCTAGGCGCACTATACTTTTGTATCAAAGAAATTGGCGAACAGTATTGTTCTCGTGTTGGAACGTGTCAATTTAGGCTTTGAACAAAGGTGCGATTGAAGCGATGGTATAGGTGAATGGAGAAACAGAGGTGTTTAAATGTTACAGGAGCCGCAGCATACCTAAACAACCACCGAAATGGCCCCTATCGGAAACACCAGCACATATGATTTGCATAGAAAGCGAGCTTGCTGACCAGCAATGGAAAGTGAAGTCGATACGTACGTGCTGTTAGGTCAGCAGTGTCATTTCTTGAAGGGAAACAATCGAGAAATACCACAATCTGTGCTTACCATTTTAGTGTCTGAGATTGGTGAGTTATGATCAATCGACACGATGGGATCATTCCCGTTATCGATGTGGAGCAATCAATACATACTCGTGATGACCGAACACTTCACCCGCTGGACTGAAGCCACGGCAATGCCGGATCAGCGGGCTAGTCCGAAAACATAGGTGGTGATGAGGCATGTGATAGCAGGCCACGGAATTCCAAAGGTCATATTGACGGACCAGGGTTCATGTTTTAAAAGTGACGAGTTTAGGACGTGTCTGGAGAAACTGGGCATCAAGAAGCAATGAACCATGATATGCCATCCCTAGGCAAGTGGCTTGATGGAGCGGAATAATAGGATGATTAGAGAATGGCTTGAAACGAAAGAGGGAGATTGGGAACATCCTCCACAACTATTGCTGCTAGCTCACCGGACGTCCAATCAGCTATGCACGTGGTAGTTCTCATTCCAGTTAGTGTATTGCCGCGCCCCCCGAATTCCTGCGGATCTAGAAGTGGGAATGTGGCCGACCTGTCCATTACTGCCGAACGAAACATGAAAAAGCAGGAAGGTAGGGAAGCGCAAGCTGAAGGCGGTTCAGATGCTGCTGGTGAAGAAGTCCGAAGTAGACAAGAGAAAACCTTCGGAGGGTTTCCAATCGGTTTGAATGTGAAGTACAGAGACCACCAACACGGTACCGCATATGCCCCAGGCGAGAGAAAACTCCTCCAGTAGTGGAACGGGTTAGATGACATAATTAATAGAAGAGGCCCTGTATATACCATCGTTCGACATGGAGGTAGGCAGGTAGCTACCTCTGGAGTATATGGAAGTACTATCATCGAGGAGAGAAAATTACGGCATACATAGGTCAGTGCCGAAGGCAGGAGAGACTGCGTGCGAAGCGGCCGACTGTGGAAGCTTTCGAGGATAAAAGTGTGAAGCACTTGTAAAGAGTAGCGTGGTGAAATGAGCGGGCGCGATGAACTCAGCGAATAATGGCTCACCGCGGACGGCGGGCTTTTAGTGCACAATTTAAGCAGCCACGGAAAAGGAGGACGCTGGAGTTTTTGGCCTGTGCCACACAGCAACGGTAAGCTGAGTCGATAGCACACAGCGGAGAGTAGAATCGGATGGCACCATGAATGAGATGCGCCAAGCTGACCGACTGGTCGATCTTCGTTCTCTAATACGCAATTTGTTAGCACCGCACCGCCATGTCAAAACCTGGGTAACAGACCGGAGCGATTCAGCAATACCATTTTGGCGGTCTGAATATAAGGACTCAGCTGCTGTCTCTACGTGTCGTGTTACAGCTACTCGAAGTGGATAAGTACACTGAGAGAATAAGCTGGTGATACATACATTTACAACATCTTCACTGTCGTTAGTCTCAGCCATGGATATCAGGCTACATTTGAATAAGAGTAGAAAAGTAAGCCTTGTATTGTCCTATGGATGCCATTATAATTGCTTTCCAAATCTTCTGGGTTCTACCTTTTGTGGTTAAAATAAGGCAGGCAACGAACCAGGTATGCTTGGGCTTCAATGGTTTATTGATGCGAAGTCATGGTTATTGGTCTGTCCCATTTTAAGGATTTTATATTTTTTCTGGAGTTCTCTATTTTCTTGTATGCATAGGTAGCTTAAAACTTCGATTTTACTGGTTTGTGCGACTATCATCTTGTACAGGATATTCAGTTCGTGGAAAAGATATGCTCAGTAAACCTGACCAAAAGCTGCCTCAACTTCTTAATGCTTCAAAGTGTTATACTTAGTTGTATATATATTTGCATTTTCCGGAACATATTTATAGTAAATGTATGTCTCAACTGACTTAAATTGCCATATCCTCCTTTGTACATTGCATAAAAATGCAAGTTTTCTATAGTAACCTGTTTTAGAGAATAAAATCACATTGGTGTACAATTATATGTCTCGTTAAAATCGGAAGATACATGGATGGCAGATACTAAACCATACATTATCTTTAAAGTGCTATTGCTCGATTGAGTGCCATAACTTACTGTATGATACGGTTGCTTTGAATGTAGCCCCGTATTCACTAGGTGCTGAGAGGACCACTATCATCGTATTTGATGTGCCATGGATTTTACGATCAAATGAACGCGTATGCCGCTCGTAAACATAAATAACTTCGGCATTGCAGTCACGCCCGTCCAAAATTCTGACAAATCCTGACGACGAATTTATCTGTTAGATAGAAACAAACCGGACTGATGTAATACAAATACGCTTTGTTCAACGCATAGTTCTAATGTCAGACTGCGGCAAAATTGCATCAACCGCAGACCAAATGAATTCGTGAGACTAGTCATCTTGGAATCTGTTTGCTTGACCAGCGCCTTGTGCATATAGTTGAAAGTGGCTTATTTTTGTTAACTAGCTTCCTTAGTTTAGGATCAATAGATTTGCGCCAGACCGATTACATCATCTTCCTTATGCGCACAAAAGAAGTGTGGCATGCTATTACACAGCAAAAATTAAAGTCATCTGAGTAAAAATACAACCAACTTGTTAGCTTAAGTCTTTAGCTATTCGAACTAAGTATTACGGTATTCTGACTAGTTGTACTGCGCCGATGGCATTGTGTACACAAGCTGATTTATTGCCAAAAATACGAGTCACTTTAAGATTGCTTTACCAAGTTAGAAACACGGACAATTTTGTCACAATTCAATACATACTAACATATTCTTGATGTCCATCTTTAATTTTGAAACTTAATTACTCAAATTTTCGATTTCTTAAAAGCTGTAGGAGAGCCAATCCGGACTAGGATAGAAAGCGATTTCAGTAGTATTTAGTGCGCCTAATGCAATGATTGTAGTACTTTTACGGCTACATTTGTTTGCGTGTATGAATGCCACCCGAGGTTTTACACGTTACTGCATTTGTTTGGTACCTAGAGCGTGTTTGATTGACATTACAATAGCCAGCGCTGTGACATTATTAACTAAACGGCTTTCACTGATATAGTTACTAGAACAGCGTTTATGTTCACTGTTTCGCTAAACCGGTGGAGCAAATGAAGCGATCACGTCGCTTCGTTAAACGGTGTGCCAACCTAGGCGCGTCAAATAACAAATGAATAGAAGTGCAACCATATATATGCGAGTAGCTGTACTCGTTGATTTAATCAGATTTCAGACCATAAATAAATAAATAAATAAACAAATAAACATTTTATGCTCGAAACTCGAGGCATGTTTATATAGGCTTAATCATGATAACGGGGAAAATGTGCAAAATTACATTAGTCTTATCAGTTAATGAGTACTTATGAGTGCAAATACGTACGTAGGCGTTCTTATAGAAGGCAGCGACGGCATTCGGGAAGCTAGAGTACTGAGTGTGGAACAACCATCAGCTTACCGTTCGGCACGAAGCTGATGGTGCAAAAATACATAGTGCTGTTCGTTCTTCTACACTGCAACGAAACTTGAACGAAGTGCCTTCCGGATGTGCGATATCACGATCGGTTCCATCAGCAGTGGTTGCGAAGCGTTCTACTTATCGTTTGATACGACAGAGTTGCAGGCAGTGAGGTGTTGCGCCGAAGTGGATATAACAGCCTAGATAATTTTTATGAGACACCTGAGGTGGCTCGGTCATGTGTGGCGAATGGGTTCGACGCAGATACCAAAGCAACTATTATATACTCAGCTGAGTTTGAGGAAGCGGCATTTGCCGAAACCGAAGATTCGTAACCAGGACATGCTCAAACTGAGTCTGTCGCGTTCTAATCTTGATTGTAGGTCATGGGAATCGAAGGCCGTTTATCGGCGTGCATGGCACGCTCTGCTCACGAAGGCTGTTGCCGAGGTGCAGTAGAAAGCTACCGTCTATACGGAATAGCAGCTGCAATTGCGGAAACCACAGGCGCCGATGGGTTGAACTCTGTCGACATCTAGCATATGGTGCTGTGGCATATGCGGTCTCGAGTGCGTGAGTCAGGCAAGCCTAATGATCTATGAGCGAGGCCAATCGGGGCCACCAACGAAACTACGACGATTCTGGCTGAGAACGCATACAGAACGGGCGAGACTTTTGTAAGTACACTGCATTCTAGATACTAACCGTGTGTTTGCACGCTGGGGCTCTTTATTTTAGGTGGTGCTTTTGCCATGTTGTCCTAATACTATTTTATCTCAAATTAACATCTACCTGAACTATATTCTATTAACAGGCACACGTCACTGAATCTGATTGTACTTAACTTCGATACCATTTTACCGTTCGTGGCCTTTTCTTAAAAGCTATTTTCTGACGTCTTGAAATTATCGTGAATTTGTTAGCAATAAATATACTTCACATGCCCATTTATTATTGAGTTATGTCAGCATATCTGTACGTGTTATTATTCTATTTATTTTACTTGACCTCGTCTCCTCAAGTGATCGCCTGTTGGTTGATATCTCCTGTGTGACTGCGTTTGATGGGCATGTTGCCAAGGTGCTTACATGTCTATTACCCATTACCTCGTCCATACTGGGTCTCCAGGAGACAGTTGGTCATTGCTGGAGGGGACGGGATTCACGGTCCTTGTCCCCGTCCTAGGCTCAAAGAGTGGTTTCATGTACCTAGTATGGAGCGTACTACGGTCCAGCCACCGCCTTGTGTACACTTGATTCTCAAATAAAGCGAGCTCGTTTTGCCTGCCAAGGAGTATGGGCGGCCCCTGTTAATGAAACTTGGTTCCCATGCACGTGCCTCCTGGTGTTATTTCTTCGGGTATACACTGGATGCGGGGCACATGTTTGGAGCTGTGGATGGTGCAGCGCAAGCCACCCATGGTCGCTCTGTATGCGCAGGCTTCCCATGGCAGGCCACAGTTATAGGCAAATCAGAAACTGGATGCGGCCAACCACGAGTGTAGCTGTGTTGCTTTGGTTTATATAGGCGACGCTACATGTTTGACTTTTCTATCGAGTCCCCAGTGCGTGGTGACTGACGTCCGTGGATTAGATGTGTTTATCCACATGAGCAAGGGACAGTGCGTTTAATTCGTGGAGAGTCATACATCTGCCACGTCCCAATGTTGTTAATCTGATTTATGTGGATTTAAACGGAGAACGCTTAGTGGGTGAAAAGACACCACGTCCTGACACACTGCCGCCCATTTATTTGCTGGAAGGGGGGTAAACCGAACCACCAAGTTGGCACCACCGGGAGGTTGTTCGGCTAGCCAGATGCACACATTTAGTTTGAGTCTTTGCTTATAATACTAATGCGTTCTAGATAACTAGGTACTTTTGCGACTATATTTAGAGCCTACAACTCCCATTGCGCAAATTTGATCCAAGGACAGATAGCGGCGCGCACTACCGATTCTGACTAAACGCTGTAAATAAATGCATCGACAGGTTGCTTTTAAAAGATTTTAGATTAAATGTAAGAAAAGGCAATACTCAACTATCCATTAGTTCGGTTTTCTGTATTGTAATTTTAGTGCATTGCAACAGCTTAAATGTATATTTTTGTACTTTATACTATTTTAACATAAGAGCACGTATATTTTTGCTTTGCACCACGATTTCGCAATTTAAGCCGGCAGACTAACTCCGAGAAACTGCCTTGCTTTATGGGTAAACTCGCTAAATATTTGTTTGTAGTAATGTCTCCAGCCTCCTTTGTTTGTGGTCAGCGAATAATCTGAAGTGATATTTAAGGGATCTGAATTGTTTGATGGGACATATCAAAAAGAATGACGTGGCTTTCGCTGTGACGTCGTATGGATAATGTGCAAATGTTTTACAACAATGCTAACATATATAGGGATCAATATTACACCTACAGAACTGCCATATAAATGTATCGCATAAAGCAGGTAACCATAAAATTTTTCGGTGTTGCCGCAACAATTTTAGCTGTAAAAATAGAATTTGAATAACACAGAAAGAAGACAAACCTTGAGAGACATGCGCAATTCGTATCATCTCCTCAGTACCATTATGATAACAGAAAATAACCAATAGCGTCAACGGGTGCCACCAGACCAATCAAAAGAAGAATCATCCTGTTACCCGACCAGTCACTTGCACAAGGATGAACAGTTGCTACAGTCCTAAGACGACGGCAGCCACAGAGTTACAACCATTTGTGTTGCACACATAGGGCCGGTCTTATTAGGTTTGTCGTCACTGCCTCAGCGAATCACAAGAACCACGAAGTAGGATGACACAGCAGTATCCGGAACACTAAACAAGAGTGACCCAATAATGGGACTCGCAAATTTGCCTGCCTATGGATGACGCTGGTGGGTTATGTGAGTTCGGAGCACTGGAGGCGTGTTGATTAACGTCCCTATTTGAACCCAAAAGGGCAGGTGTTACTTCGCTCTGGAACTCAACACCCTTTCAGTTGTGCATTTGAAACTGACTCCACGGTCAAATACAAATTGGGGAACTTAATGGGATTTGGCGCAGATGGATTCCTCCTCCTTGAACGTAGGTAAAAGCAGCTTCTGTGTTCTGCTAATTAGGAACGTGACAACAGCTGGTATGCTCTCTGGATAGCAGAGTTTAAAGGCTTGGCTATCCACATTTTGACGGCATTGTACTCTAGTGAAATTTCAATGTAAACCTTCTGCTTAGCTACTGTCAACATCATTTCTTTCGGCAGTCTAACCTGACTGTGTTTCTTGATGAAACATTTAGCTTAACCCTTTTCCATAAGTGTTCTGTTGGCAGTCTCCATCTCCGCAGTCAGGCTATCAGTTGAACAAATTCGTCTGGCAAAGGAGAACAGAGTCTTTATCAGCGCATGTTTGTAATCTACTGATGTGAAGCTCGTAAAGTGCAGGTATTGTCCAGACCACGTCGGCTTTCGGTTTACAGAGAGCCTAACGAGCCAGGTATCCCTTCGACTGGTGAGAATGTCCAGAAGCGGGAGACAATTATTTGACTTAAATTCATGAGAATTTTTTCAATTTATATGTACGCTGTTCAACTGTTTGGTCAGGTATTCTATCTGTCTTCTTGAGGAACCGAACAAGGATATGTCATCAACAGACTGCTTGTAGAAAGGCCGTTACGGAATCTCCCCTCTCAGTTTCTTTTAAGCAATATAAGAAAAATGTCGGCATATACAGACCTCAGAGGACTGCGCATAGCGACTCCATCAATTTGACAATAGCAGATCTGTTGGAAACGGAAACCGATTTTTTCCGTACACAACAACATGGACTGTCTGAGTAGGTCTGTCGGTATTTGTACACGACTTTTTTCGATCTCGAGCAGATGGCAAATGTACTCAACTGTTTTGAGCATTGAAATGTTTGTGAAGGAGGATTTCACGTCCATAGACCACATGAGTTTATCGGCTATGTTGATGTTACCGAGATCCTCGATGATTATTAAGGAATGCTTAAGACCATGTGTATTGTAATATTGTCTAAGTGGGGCTAGGAATCGCACTATCTAACGCGCCAATTTGTGCTGTGGGGAGTTCACCATTGATGAAATTGGTCTCAACGCATCCTTTCTTGTGTTTATTTGACAACCCGTAGAGCTGCGTCGTGGATGAACCTTTAGGCTTCAAGGTCTTTTAAGTCTCATGATTAATAACCTGATGTCAAATAATTAATCTTAGATGTTGATTAATGTGAGCATCAACCCTTAACAGACTCTCTGGCCTATACATGCGCATAAACTTGCTGTCATTAATCAATATGTCCAGCATTTTCCGGATGTAGTCCTTTTTGATCATGACTACTGCTCCAGGATCCTTGTTTGGCTTCAATACAACTAACATCCTCTTTCAGTGCGCTTAAGGCATGCAGGTATTTTTAAATATAAATATCAATTCGAGGGAAACGCCGCCACAATGAGGACAGCCAAACGTTTATATTCCGCCATGAAGAGAACATACTAGCCGTTGACGTGATTGTAATTGGCAGAACCCAGAAGCTACTTTGACCCTCAGCCAAGGAAGAGGAATTCAACGGCGCCAAATCCAATTAAACTTATCAATTTGTAGGCGACTGCGTAGTCAGGCACATAGGCAGAACCGAGAAGGTTTTGAAATCCAAAGTAAAGAAACACCTGCCCATTTGGGTTCAACGGAAAGTCAACCAATCCACCTAGAGTGCTCCGAGCTCACGTAACCCACCAGCGTCATCAATAGGCATGCACATTTGCGAGTCCCATCATCGGGTTAACCCTGTTTAGTGTTCCGGATTCTACTGCGTCATCCTAGTTCGTGGTCCTTGCGAATCGTCGAGTCAGTGTCGATAAACCGAATGAGACCGGCCCTATATAAGCAAAAACATATGGTTATAACTCGTCTTAGGGCTGTAACTGCCGTTCATCCTTGTGGAAATGACTGGTCACGTGACACATATTGGCTATTATTTTGATTAGTCTATTAACGTCACTTGTTTATATTGGGTATCATACTCCTCTCTAAATGATCCGAAATGCTCGCTTCTGCCAATGTTCGTCTTCTTTCTGTGTTATTCCAAAATTTGATTAACCATCAAAACTGGACTACCTTATTTCAAGTCACGAAGGTAAACGATATGGTTTTAAGGATAGTATTACTAGTTTTTTTGCCGTCGATCAGCTAACTTATTGGTTGCATATTTTAGAGTGCAATTCAATAGTCCGTGCTTGTACATGACTAATTTTGACTGAACCCGTTTTGTTTCGTTACTTGGATATTTTTTATTCCTAAAATAGCCCATTAGTACCTTGTCAGTGATCGAGTTTACCAACTGTGCCCTAACTGGGAGGAAATCAGTGGGCCAGAGCTGGTGGGTGCAGGACGGCTATCACTACTGAATTGGGATAATTTTACAATGCTTCTGCATGTTAGAGACCTGCTGTTTGTCCAGGGATCTTTGAAACATTCGGGTAAATGTCTCGGATACCATCACAGTTGCTACCTGTAGTGCTTTCGGGTGAATGTTCTCAAATCCGGGAAACTGCGGGCTTGCCAATAGAGCAGCTTCCTGGAAATGCATGGCATTTCTGTTTGACATCAGAGCATCTACGTATACGGGCTCAAAACAAATGTAATGTAACAATCAACTGTCGAACATTACTTTGGTTTCCTGGTCAAAGACGACTTAGGTTTCACCATTCAATCCAAAAGTGCTTTAAAGCTTAAAAAATAAGACGCCGAGCTGTTGTGACGGGCGTTTGAACAAATAAACCGCTCCATATTTCAACAACTATATTTCAACAATATAAAATATTGTTCCAACCTTGGTCATTCGTATTACCTTTATATATATAGGTATATATATATATATACACATATATATGTATGCCCCATGCTGAGGCTGATGTTGCATACTTGATGCTTCCTCACCGCACTTGGGCTAAACCAAGTTACACCTAAACTAGGTCGTTTTAATCTGGATAAATTTCATTCCATTTGATTTGGTTTGTTCTCCCCATCTGAAAAATACTTCTATTAACTGACCACGCTGCTTACGCTAATTGTGCTTATCTTCGGTAACTACGTGGCGTTTGTAGCATTTGTATGTAAATTGTGGACAAATTTTCGTTATCGCGGATTCGTTGCTAACCAACGTACTTCATCTAATTATTTAGCGTAGAGTTATGCCACCGTATGTGTGTGCATTATTTGATTTATTTTATTTCATCTTGTCGTTACAAGTGATTGGCTGTTGTTTAATATCCCCGGTGTGGCTGCGCTTGATGTGTATGTTGACAAGCTCCCTACCTGTCCATTACCCACTACCTCGTCCATACTGATTCCAGGAGACAGTTGGTCGTTGCTGGAGGGGATGGGGTGCACGGTCCTTGTGGACGTGCTAGACTCGAAAAGTGGTTCCATGCACTCAGTGTGGAGCGGACTACGATCCAGCCACCGCCTTATGTGCGCGTGATTCCCCAAATAGAGAGTGCTTGTGTTTGCCTGTGAAGGATGTGGGCAGGGTCCGTTGATGAAACGTGGCTCCCATCCACATGTCTCCCGGTCTTATTCCTTCGGGTTTACAATGGATATGGGTTGTGTGGTTTTAGATGTGGATGGTGCACTGCAAGCCACTCATAGTCTCTCTGTAGGCGTAGACGTCTTGTGGTTGGCTACAGTGACTGGCAAATCCGAAACCGGATGCCGCCAACCATGTAGACTAGGGTATTCAAGCTGGACATCCAGGGTTGAAACGACGTAATTGGAATGAGCAATCTTTCAAACGAGGAGAGGTTTCAAATTTTGTGGGTATTCAGTGGAAGTTCTCGTGGACTACGAGTTGATCTTATTATGACAGCCTTGATTCTCTGAGCCCCATAGCATGTGTACCGCCCCTTGTCACGACGCAGAAGCAATACAAACCTGAGGGGCCAAATATTGAAACTCGCTGTTCAGTAACGCCGCCTAGTGTGTGGCAGAAATTTCTTTTCCATTCGTGGCTTTTCCCCGTGGAATGTTCGCCCAGTATCGGTGGTCTCTGCACTGACGCTAACAGTATTTAAGAGACGTTTTGATGACGCAACCATCCGCTTACACTTTGTGATTTAACACTACGTCTTCATCCTTCACCTGGAGTTTACCATGGAATAATTGATGTTAATTATGGGTGCAGGGAATCTAAGCGGATTGCAGGACTACGGCGGAGAAAGCGTTTAGTCATTGTTTACATATTCAATTACAAACCTTTTATCATTACTTGTGTTATTATTGTTATTTAAATCTTCACCAACTGTCCAACAGTACTTGTAAAATAACTCTTCTTAACCCGTAGAAATTCATTGTTCATTGTTCATCAGTTTTCGGAGGCTGTTTAAAGTTATTTACAGAAGCCTTTAAATATCAAAACTTGTCCACTATGCTCTGTTTGTGTAGTGATTTATCTATGTGCATTAATGCTTACAGCAATTACACTACTCTACTAGTGGTTTAAGTGACCAGGACTAGGATTTATTCTGTACGCTAGCTACGCTTCTTCTCTATATGCACATGCGTGTACAGGTTTAACTACGAATGGTTAGTGGATTCGGCAAAAAAAAGACATTTGCCGATCATATGGGTCTACCGCCGTCAACCATGACTCAGTGCAACAGCTGCTGACATGCGGAAGTCATGGAGCCTGAATCTGATGTGGACCGATATACGTGCACCTTTGACGAGACTCGAAAGTTCGACATGATTGTCTCGAACCTATCCATACATGTGGGACCTCGCCTGACAGAGTGATCACCGCGAAAAACTAACCTTACTATTGGCTGAATAAGCCTAAAAATGCAACTAATTAAGCATAGAGACAGATGGTTTTGCAAATATGATTTATACTTAGAAAAAATAAGAGATGAATTCCAAGAAAACAGTAAATAATTCGTCAGCATGCCCTCCAGCTAGATGCTAAGTAAAGCGAGAATATTGACATTTATCAACTAACGAGAATAAGGATGAATAAACGCAAGCATCGTACCTGCACTTCTTCAATGTGTAGTACGATTGTGCCCCCTCGGTCGTTTGTGATCCTCCAAATGCATAACGTGTTTGTTTCATTTAAAATCCTCAAGAACATCGCATTTGATGTGCTTGTATTCAACTCCGTTCCACAATTGTCTGCAAAACAAACCATAAGAATTACGAGGAGTCTTCAAATAGAAATAAAGCAACTGTGGAACTGCTAATATTAATTGTATACTCACAAGTAGTCATAGTTCAGAAGGTGTAAATCGTAAACTAGTATATTTTAACTGTTTTATTGTACACATATTTATTAGCTACTAATAATGTATTATACACCCATTACAAGGATCACATTAGCTGTTCTCACATTCTAACCATGAATGTTCGTTTTGCTTACTCATAACATGACAGAGGAATATTGTTAGCCAGCGAAAAGTTCCCTTCCGGGTTATCCGAAAGGACCTAGTCTAGGAACTGCACATCAACAACCCACATGGTTCCATAAAATTCCAGCCCCTTCTGTTGTTGCATTTGTACATTCCGCCCTCAGATAACAGGTAGTTGCCATTTACTACTGGAGTATGTAAGTGTTAATATAGCGTTAATATACAAATGATGGTTTATATTGCTTCCATATTGTCAAACATTACAGATGAATAATTCAGGCTTATTTCTTAGAAACCACTTTAGATTTACGCTAGGATTTCAACAACTTAAGATGTGTAAATTGTGTGATATAATGCTAGGCAAGTGTATATTAGAATATTGGTGATTTTGTGAGTATGTAATTTTTGTGGAAGCTAGAAGCCAAGAGTAAACTTTGCACAATGATCGGCCTCGACGGGGAATCGAACCCGGACATACTGATTACCGGTCCGGACAGGCAGTCCGTGTGTACGCGGTTCAATTCCCCATCGAGCAGATTGTTGTGCAAAGTTTAATCGTGGCTTCTACTTTCTGCAAAAATGAATATCATTTTTTGAATCGCATCAGGGCAAACATCGTAATGTTCCGTGTTTGACTAACTCTTCGCTAAATCTCGCTATATGAACTGATACACGGAAAGGATATTTCTACATTACATAGGCTGTACACATTACACAGGTAGCTGTTACCAAACGTTAGCACCTAGAAACAGTATAAACGCGAATGATGTGTGTTAACCACTGAATCCTACTCATCAGTCGATAAATGTATACGCTAGTTGTGAGTAGCCGGCTAGACCAATTAAATATATGGCTCAATGGAACAATGGTTTTATGGAGGTAAAAATGCAAATGCTTGACAAGTCCCGTAGGGTGGTTGTAATGAGACATAAAAATATATAGCAGTTTAGTAAAATTGCGCTTAAAGCGCTAAGTGCTCCGCGGTATAGGCCGTATAAGCTGTGAATCCAAGGTAAATCCGTAGGGAAGAATGTTATTAGGATGTTGGCAGAAATTTTATCTTCTGATGTACAAATAGACGAGGTAAAAAAGTGAATTGAAATCTGGGATTTGAGCGCCAGTAAAATTTTTTACTGACAAGGCAAACTGTGAGATGTGATGAGCGCTATATCCATAATAACTGAGACATACACACGACTATTATTTATGGCGTTATCATAATGTAATGCTATTTCAGAAGGTTTAAGTCATTCCAGACTCTTTTAATTGTTTCTCTTAAAGGCTTTGGTTGAGAAACGTAATCCTTCTCCTGTCTAGGCCTGGGCAACCTGACAGTATTCTGCCCACGCAATACCATAAATATTTCCTCAAACAATTTCTTGATGCTATGGCCACCGCAGAGGATAATCAACGGTGCCCTATCTGCTGCATCGAGCTGGGTGGATAGAGGTTGGGATGCTACTACTCAAGCCTTCCCGTCTTCTTATTCCCCCGCTTATGCTTTTTTACTCCCACCGTCCCGTTCCAACTTCGCTTATATCCCCCCAGTTTTCAACCCCCGATTCTTGGCCCTCCCACAACACGCTTGCTATGCATTTGTCTTCTAATTTCAAATCACATGTAAACGCGGAGCTTCACTCCTCTCCTGTCGACAAACCCATGTCCGACCGAGCGGTCCATTCCAGTTCATCGGCTTCCATTTGGAGCCGTCGATCCTCCTTCAGATTGGCATGCCTCAATGTACGCACATTACTACAGATCGGTCAACAGGCGGCACTTGCCCGAACATGGGAGACACTCTCGATCGATATCCGCTGCATATCGGAGACCCGCCATCATGACTCAAGCTCTGTGCTCACTCTGCGATCCCCATCAGCAGTGTTTTATCTTTGCACCTATCCGGTGACGATGCAGCTTCGAGCACCGGCCAAGCTGGTGTTGGCATTGGGCTGAGTCCCTGGGTTGAAGCTGCTCTGGTTGATTGGATTCCAATCAGTAGCCGAATGTGTGCGGTACGATTGGCTGGTTCGTTCGAATCTTCGAAGTCGCGCGGGACTACAAGGTATCAATTCGTCATCGCCGCCTACGGACCCACAAACCGTAGCGATGATTCGGTAAAGAACGACTTCTAACCCTAACTGACTTAACTGCTTCGCCACAGAAGAAGCACGGACACTGTTGTGCTGGCGGGGGATATGAACGCATAAGTTGGAAAGTTGTCCACTGATGAACTGCATCTGGGCGGTCGACACGGTGTAGGCTCCCGTAATGAAAACGGTGAGCGGTTACTTCATTTGTGTGAAGGTGCTCGCTTATTTTTTGCGAGCACAAACTTCAGACACAGCACCCGCCGGAGGGTGACTTGGCGCCCACCAGCCTCGAACCAGCCTTGGACGCAGATCGATCACATTGCTATTAGTTACCGCTAAAGAGGCTGCATCCAGAACTGTCGCTCGATTTGGAGCCCATATGTGGACACCGATCATGCACTTGTATGTGCTGACATGCGGATGCGTATTGGCGGACGCCCACGACGACGCTGTGAGCGCATTGACAACAGCCAACTGACAAAGCCAGCTGTTCTGAATGCGTATCGAAGTCCACTGACATGCGAGTTGAGTAAGCGCTCACTGGAGACAAGTGATAGTCACTGGTCACATGTTTGCCACACCTTACTAGCAGCACGGAAATCCACGTGTGGTAGGTCTAATAACCAACATGGTTACTGGGTCACTTCGCGGTCTCTGGTACTTATCGACGCTCGCCGGCATATCCAGGCTGGAAGGGAACACCCTGAAACTCGCAAACAGCTCCGGGCAAGACTTCGTGCTAGCATGTAGGGTGACCGCGAATCGTGGTCGTCTCACCGTGGGTCAGAGATGGAAGTGGCCGCTGCCCTTGGAAACCATCGTAAGTTATTCCGTCTGATACAGGAAACGAGCAACAGGAGACCTGGTGTTAGTGAAACTATACTTGACGAGATTGGACATCCTATCCACAGTTTGCCAAAACGCTTGGAGCGTTGGGCTGAGCTTTTGGAAAGCAATTTAATCAGCTAGAATTGTTCGATTTTGCGCCGGCCAGTGATCGCCTAGCTCCGTGGACTGTCGCTTTGGCTCCACCCTCTCGCTCAGAAGCCGAACGTGACATCGGACTGTTGAAGTTGCACAAAGCCGCGGGACCAGATGATCTTCCTCCAGCCCTCTTCAAATTCGGAGGCTCTGCTCTTGTTGATGACTTTCATGAATCACTAGTGAAACTGTGCGAGCAGCAGACTGTCCCAACCGATTGGAGCCGCTCCGTTATTGTTCCCATCTTCAAAGGCGGCTCGCGTTCGGAATGCGGCAAAAACAGAGGAATCAGTCTGATCTCCATCGGCTGCAAATTACTCGCCTCTATAATCATTTGCAGACTGGCGCTCGTGAAAGCCAGCTTCGTGAGGAACAAGCCGGATTTCGTCGTGGTCATGACTGCATCGACCACATCTTTACCTTGCATCAGTTGTTGGAGCACCGTCACACATATTGGCGACCCACTCTAGTCGTGTTCCTCGACATCAAAGGTGCCATCGATTCGCTTGATCATGTGCCCTTTGGAATTGTTTACTCAGGAAAGGTGTGCCCGAGAAATATGTAAATATTATCCAAGCATTATATGCGCGTAGCACGGGCAGACTGAGGGCTTACGGCAAGCTGTCGCCACCCTTTAATATCTCCAGCGGTGTGAGACAAGGATGCCCGCTGTCACCTTTCCTCTTCAACTTCGCTATTGACGAAGTCGTGGAGATTGGATTAACAAGACATGACTTGGAAGGGGTGGAGCTACTCCCAAGAGAACGACTTCTTGACATGGAGTATGCAGACGACATTGCCCTCATCTGTGACGGCTCCCAGACGTGCCAAGTCGCGCTGGACAGATTAGCCCTGGCTGTCAGCCCATTCGGGCTTTGCTTTGCACCATCGAAATGCAAACCGTTCCTCCATGATTGGCAGGAATCGCCTCCTGCGCTGACCATTGTTGGGGATCAGCTAGACGTCTTTCGTAAATTCAAATACCTGGGAAGTTGTATCAGCGCCCTTGGGATCGAAGACGTGATCACGAACCGTATAGCAAAAGCGCGAAATGCTTTTGCTAATTTTATCCACGTATGGCGGTGGCGGGACACTACTCTCGCCCTGAAGGGTAGAGTGTAAAATACAGCAGTACGTTCGACCTTACTGTACGGTTGCGCAACCTGGCCCCTAAGGTCGGTGGACATGTAGAGGCTAGTTACCTTCGACTACCGGTGCCTTCGCAGTTTGGCTCACATCTGGTGGGAACACCGCGTGAGGAACGAGCTTGTTCAACGCCTTGTTTATGGCACAGAAAAAGGAACTGAACCGCATAGCACCGTCATTTCGCGCACCAGGCTCCTATGCCTGGGCCACGTGTTGCGCATGTCAGCCCATCGACTTCCACGACGTGCGTTGTTTGTTCACCGGGGATGTGGATGGAAGAAGAGGATGGGTGGCCAAGCGAGAGGAAGGAAGGCCCTCACTTGTGTGCTGGCCTCGGTTGGAGCGTCACGGCTCCCTGGTTGGGGTCCAAAAGACGGTGAACACGTTTGGTTGGATACACTTGCTGACATGGCAAGGGGCCGACCTCAGTGGCGTTCCTGCTGTGAGTTTCTTTGTCCCTCCCCATCCCTTTTGGCTTTTTCCTCCACGTATGATCTCATTTCAGCGTGAAACATAAATTTTTTTCCTTTTGCTTAGTAGCCGGCTAGTAAGTTACCGGAATGATGCCAATCCGTTGATGGTACGTCAGCTGGCATGCAACTTTTGTATTTATTTTCCTTTTTCATTTATGTATTGCGGCACAGTAGCTGAGGTGTTCTCACCTCTAGCTGACGTGTAAATAATAATAATAATTGTTTCTCTGCTCACAAACGTATAACTGCCAGTTTGATAGCACCAACTAATACACATACTGCACAGGAATTGTTGTTTACAAACTTTGACCTCGAGTATTCATTAATATTGTATTACAATCATCCAAAAATGCAAATACAAATTTAATTGGTTAGAATCAGAGTAGATTTCTATGGTCGTTCCATGTTGAATGGGTCGCTGATCCACGTTCGGGCTCGGTGTACGATTAGACTGTTGTATGAGCCAAATCAGCACGTGCAGAATATGTCGTGGTCAATCAGTCAAGACCTACGCGCCCCGCGCCGGTAGATTATGCAGCGCAGGCCACGGATAACAAGAAAAGGAGGGTTTAAATGTCAACCTAAAAGTGGGGAACATAAATATCTAAAGAGGAATCTAGTACGAGTAATTAAGAAGTCAAGAAAGTAAAGAACAATTAAATGCATTTTCCCAAGATAGTGGATGATCACCGTTAGCCAGCGAAAGCTTTGTAGTCAGATGATCCGAAAGGAGCCAGTCTTGCAACTGCATAAATCAATGAACAGGGTTTCACAAAAGGCAAGTCACATCTGTTGTTACATTCGTAAAATGACCTCATATGGTAGGGATTTGCTAGTTACTGTTTTAATAGATATGTATCCACCCACCGTGAAGTTAAAAACCATATATTACGTTTCAGTCTTGTTATCAAACATTTCACATGAATAGATCAGGTTTATTCCTTGGAAACAACTAGAGTTAAACCAGAATTTCATATACTTTACTTGTGTAGATTATGTGATATAGTGTTAAACCAATGTAAATGAGGTCCTTTAAATCGCACATTAGCAAAGCGCATAAGAGGATGCATCTGACTAATAGCGTGTTGGACTGCGTTGCATGGATTCCTACACGGTAGGAATTATTTCAACCACACATAGCTTGCGCACACTACATAGCTAACTAATACCGAACGAGCGTATCGTGAAATCGAGAGAATTTGATTACTGCGTGTTAAAATCAGAATTCCAATTTTCAGTTGATAACTGCGCACACCAATTGCGGGAATGTGAGCTAGTGAAACATAACGCAACAAAATTCATAACACATATTTGTGTAGTTATATTACAATATTCATGCTTCTCAGGAAGGTGCCGAGCTGCATAAAGTATATCACATCATGTTATCAATTACTCAGCGTGCAATAAGGGCAGTATTAACCGAATTGTCGACAGATGTTCAGAGGCCTTATTTCCTTTAATGCTGAAGAAAAAATCAAAATGTAAGTTGATAGCGGCGGGCCTGCGCGTCTGAACCTAGATCGCTTACAGCTTACAGTCCGATGTTCAATTTAGACGTGTTTGCATATCGATCAATTACATTCGCCTCGCTTTCAGTCAACTTGTTTTCAGTGCAACATATTAGCAGAGACGTTGACACAATCATCGGCGAAATCAATTAATCAACATTGATAAGTAAATGAACTAGCTATTTTGCTTTCCAAGTCACGAGTTTGTGGCACACGTGATGAGTTGGGGCTAAAACACAGAGCTCGAAGTTGTGCTGGGTTGATTACTCTTCGAATATTCTTTTCAACTGCTTGGGACAAATGCACAGCCAGTAACTTCCCCAGGTGTTCAGCACTAGTCAAAACATGAAAGCAATCCGTCACCCTTTGAAGCACAAAACATTTAAGACCAGCTTATACTAGCTACTCGGAGAGCTTCTGTTTCAGCAGGCATAGTATTTTAAATGTAATTTTGTGCGTGTACATTTCCAAGGGGAGAGGCGAAACTCACGTAATATGTGCTGGTAGTTAGGATCAACTGAAATGTAGAGAAAGAGATTGGATCGAGAACACTGAGTAAAACTAACCAATTTGGATTCGATCATTGAAATGAGGATGGCACGCTGCTGACTAACGTATACATCTGCGGCCATGTGTGTTATCTATGTTTGCTATTCGCCGGTACATATATAGCACATAATAAGTACTAAGACCGGTTCTGTCTATAAAAATTTGGATTTTGGACTTTCAATTTGTCAGCAAGCGTGTTGTGCAGTGCTGCGCTCTCATGAACCATCCGTTGTCACCCGGTAAGTACCTGTGCGTAACTGCTGGTGCGACCTTCGCAACAGCATTAACATTAGTAAGGTACAGAAATATTTACGCATAGGTTTGCAAGCAGTTGGGTGATTTGTTGTCATTGTGTTCTTTTGACGTAGATCCCACGTCATTCTCTTAGCAATGAAAAGCATAACATCGATCGAAAACTTCCGGTTTTCGTTCGCTTTTCTGTCGCATGAAGAGGTTGCGGTATGACCGAATTTCGACCACTATATTGTATCAGTTTGACGGTAGTCAACTCACGAATTGCATTCTTCTTCCAGTTGTCTATCCGCGTTTCTAAACAAAGGTTAAAGTATGAGTAGGATATAACCATTGCAAAGTAATATTCTGTTTGTAAGGGCATGTAAAAGACAGCAGCACTTAATTGTTCATTGTATCCACTAGCTTAATGACTAGGCTACAATTTTTAAGCACAGTATTTTAAGAAGCGGGATGCATTAGGTTGCAACAACAAACTTTAAAACTTGTGGCATTGACTTTTGCTGAACAAAAATATGTTTAGAGTTTGACAATTTCCTATTATATGTTATGTTAACGAACTTTGTATATTAAGGAGGAGCATCCAAACACGATGACGCGCGATATTTTCGACAAAAATCTTGAAGGTGCTTGGTTAATTAACTCTATTCCATAACCTAACTATGATTGCTGTATTGAGATATAATTTCCTTTTTTACCTGCTACAGAACAATCCAACTAGTGGAATTATTTTACACATTTGACAGTCGATTTGCACGAAGGACCGAGGCTCTAACTTTTATTTTTCTACAAGGCAGTAAAACTTAAATTAAAACGTGTTCCAACGTGGTTCAATAAACACTCACATGCAAGATTACTATACATGGTTTTGAGTGAATTGCCTTATGAAACAAAATGTTCATAACAATTGCTAGAAGATGCACAAACTGGCAACTTGCACATCACTCCATAAGAACTCAGATTTAATAATAATTGCAAAGAGTTAAACATTAAAATTTTGATTGAAATCGTTTGAGACATTGGGCTGCTTGGATGGAGCCGAAAATATTTCCAAAAGACAAGGATTGGAGTGCATTCGAGGTACGAAATAGCAACAAGCGAACCAACAATAAACGAAATAAGGTGCTAAGCAGCAACGTTTTTAATTTGAAACGTCCACTAGGTGAAATGCATCAGGAAGCCAGAATTATAGTATTGTCTGGTGCGCATTTGATGCGGTTATACTGCCAAAGTATGGAAAACAAAACCTTGACCAAGTTTCCTAGGTCAATTTACTCCGAAATTGCACGCATATTCATACACAGCTTGTGATTTATTGTGAGCATTTGTACTGTCATTTATCAACAAAATAATTTTGATTGTTTCAAAATTTGTAAGCAAAACCATCCACTTTAGCTAGTTTGTGCATTATCAACCGTTTGTGTGACATCAAATATAAATATTTGGCTTTTGGCTAGCTAATGAATACGGTTTTGGAAAATTCTGGTTTCGCATAATGTATTTCATCCAGGATACTCGAACAAAATTCTTTAGACTATAAGTCATGTGCACCGTATTATACATCCATTCTAGAGGCTGAGCTCAGACATCCTATTACGGAAAGACATGAGTTTTCGGATGTGTCAGTTGGCCATCCGACTTGAGCTCAGTGTTTCAGCAGCACTAAAACTGTGTCTCTATCAGTCTCCCGACGTAGGCCCGTTGACGTGAATGGAGAATCATTGAGATACTGAACCAAGTTTACAAGCTCTTGCAGAGTGAACTCCTCCGAAGGTATCTCTGGTAATTTACGTTGACTTAGTACATTAACTGTGGTATTTTGCTGGCCGGGAAGGTACTGGATTTCTATCTACATGCATATATTAATAGGTACCAACAAATCATTCTAGGTGAAGCCATTTTGAAATCCCGCTCTCTTGGCCAAGGAGGGAAACAAGATGTTTACAATCCGTGTAGTTCACGAAAACTCCGCTATGTAAATATTAGTGAAATCAGTTAGAACCGATGCTAACAGCTACTGCCTCTCGATCAAGCAGCGAGTAATTTCGTTTTGCTGCTGACAGTGCTTTTAGGCGCAGGTAATGGGTCTTGGGGGGACCTCCGGTAATTCTTGCAGTAAAACAGCTCCAAGACCCTATGGTGAAGTATCACAGAGACAACAACAGGCTTTCGCGCGTCGAAATGCACAAGAACACCTGCTTATGTTAAAAGCTTTTTAACCGCCATGAAAACATTTTCATTAGTCTTGTTCCCATTCCAACTTTAGTTTTTAAGTAAGGGTTGGTGAAACGGCTGTAAACGGATTGCTGCCGATGGCAAAAAACTTGAAAGCTGGGTAATGGCACCCAAGAATGACCGCAGCTCATGAACATTATTGGTGCTGGTGCTTCAAGCAGCGCTCTTGTCATTTCTTTTAATGACCGCAATCCTCCTCGTGATAACCGAAACCCAAGCTACTGTGCCCTTGACACTCGAATATCACACTTTTATTTAGTTAAAACTAACCTGGTGTCTGGTAATCGTTTTAAGATGATATGCAATAATGCAAGTGTTAAGTAATAGAACGTCCAATAACCAGGATGTCATCTAAGTATGCACATGTGTTGGGTATGTTCTTCACCAGTGTGTCAATAATACGCTGAAAGATTGCCAGGGCTGAGGGTATCCCAAATGGCATGCGTGTATATTGGAATAATCCAAGGTGTGTACTAACGGTGGTGTAGGCACGTGATTCCTTATCGAGTTCAATTTGTTGGTAGGCGTGGCTCAGATATAGTTTGGTAAAAAGCTTTCCACAGGAGAGAAGGGTAAATCACATCAATCTTTGGCAGAGAATATCTACCTAGCTGTAATGCCTGGTTGATGGTATCTCTGTAATCCCCAGAGGTTCTTATGACATCATTGTTCTTCAATACTAGTACTATAGGAAATGCCTAGTCCGAATATTTAACCAGTTATAATCTATCTTCCAGAAGAAGTTGTCGCGACTCACTCTCGACCTTATCACGAAAATCATAGGAAAACACTCGAGCTTTTCAATTGTTCGGTATCGCCTGTGGTTTCAACACTAGGTGAGCAGCGTAATTATTCAAAAGGCCTTGTCTAGACTTATCGAACAAAACCGCGTGTTTCTACAAGCTATCAGATAACTGCATGAGTTTCCACCAACTTGGCGTTCGATGTAATGCCAGGAAGAAGTTTAATTCCGTCACTACCAGGTGTATTTGGGCCAGGTCCTCCAGAAGCCTACACACATGTATGATTCGGTTGAATTATGGTAAGAGATGCGTGCAATAAATGTGCCCAACACTACCATATGTTCCGCGTATGGTCGCAATTGTCTATTTGCCGGATCTAACTTACAGTGTTGTGATAAGACATCCGGCCGTATCAGAGAAACTGCGGAACCGAAATCAATATCAAAATTCCCAGGTTGCTTGTTTACATTGACAGACACGACACGGTTTTCCTGAGGTTACGTTGTGAATAAACTTGTTCTAGTATTGCTCTAGTTCTGTTGTATGTACTCGTTGATATAGTTTGTAACCTGGTGATGCTTAGGTGAAAATTATTTCTGTTTTGGAAGATATACTTTCTGTATTTGACATATTTTGCTACAATATCTGCACACTGAATGAAGGTGCTGACAGTGAGTTAAGGACGCTTGACGTTCACCGCAGCGATAACAAGGAAACCCTCTAGGCTATACAAGTGGATTTGACGTTTGTTTACAGTTAATCTGGGAGACATTGTTTACTTCCAGTGTAATCAACTGCTTGAATGAAGGAAACGCAGCTAGTTCCTGAATGAGGTTTACACACTGTCGGACAATCCCACAGGCATTTTCACAATGCAGAAGTGTTTCCTCTTAAGAAAGCAGCTGCTTTGGTGTCGTCTCATCGAAAACATCCAAACTTAACGCCTGTAAGAGCATCGCCTCTTCGACCTGGTTTGGTTTAATCTGATCATAGGCACAATCGGAGGGGTACTAAGAAGCCGAGAGGTAATCTCATTTACACTCTCATTAGTTTGTTGTCCTATGATGTTGAATTTGTACCTGTGACCTTTCCCCCAAAGTTGATCCAGGGAATAGAACAGATGGTAGGTCGCTGTTCGTATGCAGCTGCAAACTGTCGAAACGGCGCTGGCTCCCATTACCCAGGTGGTGGCGTAATAGTTGATTTTTGCTGCATCGTCTACCGGGGTGTTGCCGCTAAGAAGCAAAAGTAGCTCAACGTAATTAGTGAAAGTAATTTTCCACTGTGTCCATTGCTGGGTAGTAGGTCTTTCAGTAGGGGAATTCCAAAACGGTAGGGGTGCCGTAATCTAAGTTGTCATGTGTAATCCGATAACCTTCATCGCCAACATGTTGCAAGCAAAATGAGAACAGCGGCATGGCAGTAGGAGCATTTTAGCAGCAAGCTTGCAGCGGTACACTGTTCTCAGCAGATGTTAGCACGTAAAAACTGTTTGCTGCGAGAGCCACATGGACGCGAGAACGAGTTCCAGTTCGAAGCGAATCAGCGGCGGACACGGGTTGGTTGGCACACAAACACGTACGCAAGCAGGTATACATGCTTGTACGAAGCCTTCTTCCTGGCTGAATAGTGGATGGATATGGCATGACCGATAAACAGATCAATCTGCTGAGAGCATACCTACTCGAAACTCGTAATTTTATACAGCGTTTCCGGACGCGCAGCACCCAATTTTCATCGGCTTCAATTACAATCCTCTTGTTTTAATGACCAACGTTCACTTCAACAGGAATCGCGATCAGCACTGAGATTGTGTGTCGTAATCCATTCACAAAGTGTTACTTCAAAATGACCTCAAATTTCCTCACATCTATTTTTATAAGAAACCGATGGGGATTAACCAAAGGTACGTTTAGTGAACTTCCGTTTTTCTTTATCTAAGGCATTTAATTCACATGTACATGGAGTGCGAACCGCAATGCAGCCGTATTCGAATGATGAGTTTATATTAATTTTTGTGCCATGATTCCTGACGCTTTAATATTAGTAACAGATTAATATGCCCAGTACTTGCGTTGCTTCTTTTACAGTTTAGGTTGCATGTTCCATGAAACTTAGGGAGCAAAAATACCGCAGTCCTAAACCACCAACAGAAGAGCATATCGGAATCGCATCATAATAAAATAGAAATAGTCATGTCTCCATATAGCATACGTTAGCCATTATATTGCATTTCGCTTTATAGAAATGCGCCTGCCGCTTTAAAGCCCAGTCTTCATTGGCTTATAGTCCGCCTTTATTTTTCAAAACTGCATAAAAGGGTGAATGAAAGGTTTGCTCAAATATGATTAATTAAAGCGTATGATAGCTATATGAATATTAAGTTAAATACAACAATGTAAGAAACAACTACGTTTCATTGAACTCCGCCAATGGAAAACATATGCGGAGTATACATGAATGGTGTTGACCGTCTGCCTGGGTCCTTTCAGATTACATACAAACCGTGTTAATTATAACCCATTGTGTGGGACTTAATCGAACGCTTTGCACAAGACAACATATATAATAATCTACTGTAGTTCAGAAGTAAGTACTTTATGAAGATTTTCTAAGAAATCAATTTGACAAGTTACATATGAACAGGATTTAAGACGCTTTGCTGCGAACCTTGGTGGCGAATTTGTGATAATGGTGAATAAGTTAGTTTTCATCTAAATTCCTATCTATCAGTTATGATGGAATATCTAGTGTGAGGAACGTGATGATAGTTGCAACTATGTTATATAGTCCCTGATTTGGATCGTGGCATAACAACATACTGCCTCCAATTTTGGTTACTGGCCTGACTGTAAGGACTTGGAAAATACAGTCAAAATAATCCGGGATATTATCTCCACCATATTGGTTTTAGCTGAAGTTATGCCATCGTGAAAAATAATATTTGGTATGTATACAGTAAGTTAGAAAAAATAGTTTAATGACGTCGACGCTAAAATACATAAGGCGAACACTTTCACGAAGGATAAATTATACTGGATGTACAAGTATTGTATTTCCCATGCTGAATAATCCAAGAAGGTATGCACCAGACGCCTTTGCCGTAGCAGTAGATGTATCGACAACATTGCCATCTGGTGTGATAATATGTAAGGGTAGGTATGTTTGTCACCATTTTCTTTTCTCCAACAAATACTTAGCTCATTAACATTTTTCTTGCTGTGTAAGACGCGTCTCTATTCTAACCTAGGGAGCGTAGGTTTCCATGGAACCGTTCCAACCAATTATGATTAGCTGCGATGGCACAATGGCTTCACGTGTTTTTCATGCGCTCAGGTTAGTATCCCAACTTTTCTCATTTTTAGCTTTAATAATGAAGTAACTACACTGTTTTCTTTTGCAAAGTCAATAATTGCAAGCCATGGTTTGCATTGTTATAAATTGGAATAGATTTATGCTGGCCTACATGGGACAGAGAAAGTGTCCCGCATTTGTATCCGGACTAGGATTAAAAATAATTTCGCGTTCACAATTTAAAGGACGAAGGAGTGAATTACTGATTTTACCTTTGAGGTCGCCGTTTCTATTTCGTATGGAGCTAATTGGTAATACATGTAGTTTCTCCTCAGTGGAAATGGATTTCGGGCCTAAAATCAAACTGGGTTCAACAAAATTTTACCTTTTGCTGACAAATTTTATGTTTAGTAAACCCTCAACTCTTAAGTGCATTTTTGAAGTTCATGTGATTCCGGTTGGATATAAACGGAACCAGTACATATGGTTTTATTTGGCAGAGAAACTTCCGAGTTGCAGTGAAAATTAGTTGCTAATTGGAGCTATAGATTTTGATTACCTTCATGTAGGCAGTAAATATAACTTACGATTGATTGGTTGCGACCAAACGGCAGAATTAGCTACTTTAAATCTCATGAAGGACACGTAGGCGGAAGTGCACACGCAGAAACAAGTAGGTTCTGTAAGTGGTAAAAGATGCACTTACAACCCAACCTGTCGTATTCTCATCATAATCGTTATAATCATCAACAGCAGTACGTCAGTCATTTGCACTGAGGCCCCGCTGTCATACAACCATGGTGACCTAAAGAACAAAGGGTCATAAGAGGGAGAGAAGGGCGGCTTAGTTGAAAACCTTAATGCCCCTAGCAAACATTCGGGGTCAAGTCGCCTAGACATTATATTAGCAACACACGGACGAAAAACAACTGGCTATCGTGGCATAAGTGCCACGTGCAGCCGAAGGTTGTCGGATGTATATCATTATAATCATCAACAGCAGTACGTCAGTCATTTGCACTGAGACCCCGCTGTCAAACAACCATGGTGACCTAAAGAACAAAGGGTCATAAGAGGGAGAGAAGGGCGGCTTATCTGAAAACCTTAATGCCCCAAGCAAACATTCGGGGTCAAGTCGCCTAGATATTATATTAGCAACACACCGTCAAAAAAGCAACTGGCTATCGTGGCATAAGTGTCACGTGCAGCCAAAAGTCTTCGGATGGATAGACCATTAGTCACCATAAGCTTTAGTAACAGACGCTACCTGATTGCCAAGTTAACAAATACTGCTGGTTTTCATAGCATTTCTTGATGTGAGAGTGGATTTTAAGATAAGTCATGTGCTATGCAAGTAAAGCTAATTGGTTTGCCGTATAAATTATCTTTTATATGGTTCATAACCCACATGGCGGAAAACAGAAAAAATAAAAACATAATGATAGAAACGCTTTGACTATGGACTACTCAGATGTAGGTTCTATGCGAGATACGATTTGCTTGAATACTGAGGATGCTATCCAAAATAGCAGAACTCTCAGCCTAAGGACTCTTTGATTGCAAGTAGTACAAGGGCATTTGCTAGGCTGACTTCCCGCGATAGAACCAACCGCTTCAAGTTTCAACTTGTTTCAGCGCCTAGGCAGACCAAGAGGAAAAAGTGGTGAGCCACTCTTTTCTGTACACGCATATATGCAGGCTCTAACCTCGTCCAGACAGCGTCAAGCTAAGCCATCTAGATGACAGATGACTCAAGGTTTATTGCAACGTGCGCATTAGTTGCGACCCGAGGTTACGCACATAGTATCAGTCAAGTCGCGACAATGGCCTAAGGCAGCTTCGAATGGAGACGTAGTTAATTCAAGTCAGATTTCAGACTATAGCAGCGATCTACAAGTAAAAAAAATTGCGGTGGCTTTATTTGTGGTCACTGAATGATTACAGGTGGAGCCTAGTAGAGGGCTCACATAATGTTTTTCTTAATGAAATTAGATATAGTAGTTAGCTTACAAAGTGAAGAGTTTGGGGAAGTTTCTTCACAGAATGCACCAAACAAGCAAATGGAGGGTAGATAATGATGCATAAAGTGTACATCTAAAAGAATAAAGTGACTAGAAGGCTAGCACTGCAACAAGTTAAACGAGTGTAGAAACTTAAAGATGGGAAAAGTTGGTCGGCGAGAATTCATGAAGAATAAGAGAGCAAACGTTTGTCTACTTTACGCTGCGGCCATGCCGAATTTGCGCATTAGTCCTATGTGGGGCGAAAAGATTTTTACAATTGAATAGTGAACTGACACATCCATCACGATGTATCTTGCGGCAGAAAACATAAGAGGCCCTTTCGATAAAACCTAATGCGGACGCCGATATTCTACACTGAAAATATGTTAGAGAGAGAGCTTGTCAATACCTTCAATTATCAACAAAGATGGTCAGGACTAATCGCATCTCGAATGCAAATGTTGACAGCGAATTTATTTCAGTAGACATTCATTCACAAACAAATCCGTACATGCTGGCCGGCCAGATGTTTTCTTTACACTGTTAGGTTTATTGTTTAAGACATTTGTGCTTTAAATAACCGGATAGAAAATTGTGTAAACATTTTGGCAGGTGGGAACACTGAATTACCTGGTCTGTATTTCAGATGAAAACCAGCATTTTGGGTTGAATAATCACTGATGAATAACAACGACACTTTGTTGTTTCGAGAGCTGAGTGGAAGTTGGTGATTTGGTCCATACGCCACAGTAAGACGTGGTGCCATGCAGTCCGGACCGTCAAATATGACCAAGTAGTCCAAAAGGTGCAAGCCGTCATATTCCAGCTGAAACATTTGTATCACTTTTGTTAAACATTTGATACCAAATCAGATTCTATCGGCCTTTTAAAATGATGGAAGTTGCTTTTGCGAAATCGAAATCACAAATTCATTAAACTGTTATGTCGACACCGTTGTTGCTCACAGAATAATGAAGCTTTGAACTTGGACACAGACGCAGTGTCTTAATTTTTGCACAGTATAACAATAGGAATATCTTGCTTGATGCACAAAGCATGTGCAAAATAGCTTCTATGACAGTGGTTGACTGCGTTAAATCATTGTCATGGTATAAAGTTGACTCTACAAGGATTACAGCTTGTGTGTTTGAAATATAGAGCACACATTTAGAGTAATCATTTGCATAAGTAGTTCTTTAAGGCTGGTGAATTTGTACTGTGTAAGGTTTACTATCATTTGCCCCACACAGTTTGGGTTTGCCTGGCCATGTAAATATTGACGTTGTAGTGGGTACATTTTTCTCACTCAAAATAACTTCAAGGAAAGAGAGCTGCGACGGATTCCTCTTGGTTTGGCCTCATTAACAAAGTTCAGAACAGCTCAGACTATCTCCCCTGATGAGTCCAAACCATAACAAAGGCATCGGTTGTGTGGTGCCGTTGTTGGCAAATGCATCACCAAAACATCTCTAATTTATATACGGTCCTTTTGTACGGAATTCCCAAGATCTACCTGAAAGTGCACAGTTTTCAATAGACGGTTGTGTCGCAATCCAAAAGAACAGTGGGTTCTCCAAGTTGAACTTTGAACGGTTGTTAGTTGCTTGCATCTACGAGTTATATACATTTATTAAGTTGAAATCAACCTACGAGGATCAACATGGAAGCAGTTCAGCCCCAGTGATGCTGTGAACTGAATAAGTGTAAGGGCAATGGATGTCATGAAAATCTGTTTTACATTTGGAAATTTGATACAACCTAGCATTTGTGATTGAATATATCCAACGTGATCCAGCCTTTTGCGCTCGAGGAGATTGATGGATATAAATTGTCAGCAAAGAAATTCAGATATACATTGATCCAGATACTACCCTGTTATTTGCGCAAACGCAGGCGTCGCTCATTGTCTGCAGCCTAGACTTGCGATGGAATCTCGGCGCAAACTCCTTCGGTAAGCAAACTGAAGACAAACATATTTTCATTCATGGTGTTGCCTAACTCTTGAGATTGATTTATAGACAGTATCGTCTAGATAGCCGCGCATACACCAACTACGATCGTCCTTATCTGCTACCTAAAATTGGTCAGTATGAATTGTGATAGACAGCAGCGAGGTGTACCGATACCTAGACTTGTCTCAATAACAGTTTATAGTGAATGATCCGCGTTCGAATCAAACTAGCCGCATAATCAAATGTAGTGTCGTCTGTCGCTTCTACGACGAATTCACGTCATTTGTCGACCTATGAATTATTCCGGGAAATTAGTCTGACCCAAGTCCGAGCGAATACGTAACATTTACGAGGTGCGTAAGGACGCTAGATCGTTCACCGGTTTCTCGGACGCGATTAGTTTTCAAATGTGTTTAGGACCGATTATCTCTTTTGAATATGTGCAGATGTTCCCAAGATCGGTGCAGAAATGTGCGAGGGTTTCATCTAACATCATAATCGGTCGATCCTGTATTATTGAATGCTGATATGCACTATCTTGAACAACTAGTTACTGTAATGAATAGATTCATCTAATTTGTCCCAATAAACTATTGGAATGAACAAATTGTGTCCAAACGCATTCGCGTGTATACACAACAAATAGAATCTACCAGGAATTTTGTTTACTCTGGAAAAATTCACACTTTAAGCAAGTGATATTCCTCCATTAGGCTCAACACAAGCATCCGACATATGATAAATTCTGTCACTCACGGAAACGTCAACTAATTTCATGCGAATTCCGTGTGGGTATGGAGCGGAGAGTGTAGCGCTACAGAACATCTTGGGTGAATAATTCTGAAGTTTAATGCTTCCATTTGATGCACTCGGACGAGAGGAAAAGCAAGGGCTTTGCAAAACTATACGAAACAAAAGTAACAGAAATGGAAGCATTGTAGTAAGTCAACTAATTGGTAACCATTAGAAAATCAACATCGTTAATAGTATAAATGTAGCGCAACATCAAGTTCAAATCAATAGAGTTTGCGCGATTTTTGACAATAGAAAAGCAGCGACATTATTGGAACGCGCAGCTATTCTGTTCTCTACACCAACAATTTCATAGTTTAATCTAGCAGTGTTTGCAAAGCTGTTTACCTTCAGCATGGTCCATTAACTTTCGATAGGCGACTCCGTGCAGCATGATTCTCACAACAATATTCGTCAATTTTGTTGGCGTTTCACGCTTGCTCAGTTTGTCTACAAATCCTTAAAATGGAGCTTCGCTGTTATATTGGCCTCAACTGACTGTGGCTCATCGCCCTGACAATTTTATACGGTACATCCAAAGCGCCTGTTTGAATCCCACTGAAGTGCATCTGTTGAGGTGCAAGTGCTGTCTGGACCAGGTTATTTTCTATAGAAGACCGGATTTCGCGCGTTAATATTCACCTGCTCTACAAAACAATTATGGGCTGTTTTGATGAACGACAAACCTATGTACCATTGATATCATATAAAACTTGGCAACTTTTTCTTTTCTCTAAATACACCTACTTTTATCATGCACATGCGGAAACCGACAAGCACTGGCTATATTGCTCTGCATTGCCATTATAGCCAGGGTTTAACTAATCAGTTCACATAAATATACGGATTATAGCCACAATTAGCAGTCGATCTGACTCTCCCCCTGAAGGGCCGAGTATATTTTACTGTGGTAATAGCTGTGCAGCTCTGGTGTGAGCCTGAGAAAACGCAAGTACGTTCCACAGAATGTCACATTTTAGAGAGGAAATAGCTTTGCCGTGTGCAATATCAATTTGTTAAACAATACGACGGTGGACTGCTCCTTCAAACGACGGAAGTATATGTGTTTTACACAATTCTTGTAGCAACGTATCAGTGTTTTCCATTATAAACGTAAAGATGCCAGCGAGCACTGGCTTTTTTCCAGTACACTGCCATTTTTAACAGTGCGTAAATAATAATTTTATGTTATTGAAAGTATTCTGGCGGCCATTAGGGTCTAACCTGAGTCACTTTCTGAAGGGCCGGTTAAACAAAAACGTGGTAAGAGCCATCCTACTCTGTGGTTGTGAGAGTTCGCCTGTTGATGCAATGGACATTCAGAGGTTATTTGTTTAGTTGACCGATGCCTTTGGAGCACTGATGGTGTACGATGGCAACATCAAATTATTAATGCGGATGTACGTAAAATAATATTAAGATGTGAGTGTTTGCTAGCCAAAGAGCGGCATAATTTCATTGCATAGGCTTCGGTGACCTGGGCACAAGCTTCGCATTGTCACTGAGTGTTTACATGGCCTTTTATTTTTCGCGCGCAGAAGTCGGCTTGCAGTATCATCAAGGTAACCAACTTTTGAGTTGAGCCAAAAGTATGAAGGCGCTGACCTCAAATTTGGTCGCGGTCGGACGCTGTCGGCTACTTAAATGGGGAGGAAAAGATGACAAGCGCATATGGCCGGAAACAATCTCGGACGTAGCACAAAACCACGTGCAGTTATGATCAGGTTTCTGGACTCTTTTCCTGTAACTTTATCTAACACATTCTACTCTCTTTATCTCTACTTACTGTTCATTATTTCACATTTTTACATGCCAATTGCACTCTACTTTTGCGTTGTCCTAATTGTATACAGACAAATATGTCCAGAGTCAGGAGTCTGATGCATATTCGATCCTGCCGTTCGGGAGTGACCATATCGCAGAAATGTTGGACACAATATCTTGCCTCCTATGATGTGCAATTGCTCGACAACGGTGTGCTTGCAGGAAGCTGGGAAGAGCACACTCTTTCTGTGTTAAATTGATAGTCCGCTTAATCTTTTGCATCAATTAATGCAAAAGGATGAGTGCAACCCGAAGAATAATTGCATAGCTCTTAATGTAGGAGCGAAGTAAGGTAGGCTGGAAGGGCGTTCCACCGTTACGGTGACAAAAACATTTGAAAATTACCGTCAGCATTTCAAGCGATTATATTAGTTAGTCTGTTTTACTGATGATTTATGAGTCTGGCACTGTGTGTACTTTTCCTTAGTTGAAAAAAGGTAATTAAAGCTTCACACTGCTCGGATCAACCGCAACGTTCTGACGCGCAAGTGCTGATAAAGTTCGCGGTAGAAGTCCGTTTTTCATTCTCAGTTATTTGGGACGACAGGATAAACAATATTTATTTTTCGTTGCTATTAATTGTGGCATTTTGCATGCTGCAGCTCATGCTTTAACCGTTCCGTCCGACTTTCGTGGTGTATTTTGAGTGGAACACTCGTACGCGTTGATCATCAGGAGGATATGGTGCGGTCTGACCGCAGGAATAGCATTTGTAGGTATTTACATTTTTAGTTGGATATTTGCCGAACATCCTCAGGTTGAGTGAAAGACCCCATGTGAATATACCCTCTCCTACTAACACAGCCAGGTGAATTTTAATGGAGAAGCACTGCATTGGTTTGCATTATTAAGAATAATACTAAATTATGTGCTCTGTTTTACATGACATGCTATTTCCGGCATTACCAGGAGTTTACACACATATTACACTGTTATCAGCACAGAAAGAAATAAATGATGCAAAATAGATTAAAAGCTGCAGTGGATGTTAAAGAAATTGGAATCACCCTAAATTCCACTTAAAATTAGGCCAATCGTGCAACGGACACATTGAGACTTCCATCAATGACAAGTATTCCTCGTAAACATGTTATCCGCACTCTCAAGCCTAACTGGCAATGTACCGGCGTGGCTTAAAAATATAGAAGACATCGCTGCATTAACTCATTTTCCGGCTACTTTTGTATGTACTTAGGAGTTATGTAAGATTTTCGGCCTATTTAATTATTCTGAAAATAATACTTTTGCCGTTATTGGATTTGTGGCATTTTGCCTTGCGTCGGTCCACTGATTACCTTGGAAATCGATCTCAACCTTGTGTTTCGCACTGCATTGATCGTGCGCTCTGAATCCTACACTGATACTGACGCTTTCATTACAAATGGAGCAATCAAGTAAGATTGCTTTTGCATAAAAGCAGTTCCGGCAAAATCTGTGCTTTTTATGGCAATATGCTCCGTTTTCAGAGGTAATCCGTCGCAGTGGCCCCTCAGTCTACAGGCTTTGACATGCCTAAAATAGTCCCGTCAGGACTATTTCGAAATTATTGGTTTAGTCATTGGTGCGCCCTCCTCAAACCCCTCCTTAATTCCGACCCCACAACTTCTGGATGCCAGCAGCTTTTTTCATTAGTCATGGGTGAGGAACGCGGGCGTGTGTGGCAGCCAGTTGCTTGCCCCTGTCACACTGACATTCAGTTCTTCGAAAGCAGGGAACCGAGTATTATCTAGCTTAAGCGGGCCGGATCCGTGTGATCGTTCACTCAAGAATTTGGTGAATATAACAAGATACCACATCTTTTTACCTAAATCACATGGATACGTCATGGAACATGCTGCGTAGTCAGTTAAGCTGGATTCAACGCATTGCAATGCATTTCTCGCATAACTATACTAGGGTCACTTTCTCCATTTATATACTGATTCCTAACCTTAACTGGCAATTTCGTTATAACCCAAGTAGTGGGCTGAACATCTGAGCGTTACCATGATAGAGCCATTCCGTTTCAAGGGATGGCCTTCGTAAACAAAATAACGTGCGTATTGTCCGTTCATATCACTTTACTTTGCTTATTTATCAAATATCATTTTTCCGGTTCATTGTATTAATACTCTGCATCTACCGTAGTCTGTCCTTATTATGCATGAATTATTTATCCACTTTATTGTACTCAGTAAATAAATTATTTTGTTGTCGCTTGTGCTAACTATTATTATACCTAGACCATTAAAATTTTGAAGAAATTCCCTCTATAAGTATTCATATCCTACAAATAATTTGTATTATATATCAACCTAGTGAATGCATTACGGCGTGTAGAGAAGTGAACCAGCGCAGCACATCCTGCAATCAGTTGAAGTAAACCTTACGAAATTTGTTGAAATTTATGGAGCAAACTCCACCAAATTAGGAAAAGTTGAAATTAATTGTATTAATAGCCGAAATGCACTGACGTTCTTATGTATACATATGTAAGAAACCAGTGCTGAACAAATCCAAATTGCTTTCAATGGATCTGACAACTGACATCTTACAAAATGATTTGAAACGTTTGAGAACTTTAAGTGGACATAAATCTTTTTCCATGTATTCGGGGTTTTGCTATTTAGCTTGTCTTTAGAAATTTGCTGAGTATTTACTGCATCTTTGTAGTAGCTGGATTAACGAATGAATATTTCTCCAGCCATTCCAGGTATCCCACTGTTCCTACAAAGCACATTTACCGTGTAAATAAAGCGTGGTGTTTAGCTTACTTGGTAAATGCAGGCCAGCTTCACACCCAAACATGAAGAAGGTTAACGTCACGAGCTAGCAAATTACCGCCGCTTTGGCAATACTTCTATACTGAGTTTTATATTGGAACGAATAATCAAATAAAAAACACGAGGTTGCTAAATTCAAAAAATCTTGTTGACAAAACGTAACACAGATTCATCCGTTGTTGTTCATGTCACACTCGCCAAGTTGAATACATGGCTCGATCCGAACAGTCGATGGTTGTTCATATCTTACGCATGGAAAAATCATCCGACTGTATGCTCCATGCAGAAGTGCTACAACGTGGCCTCTTATGGTTGTACTAACCCATTAATAGCTTCGCTGTCATTATTCGTGTTTAAACGCAACCAATGTATCAGAGCTGAAAACTGCTTACCTGTACTTATTCATTAACAATCGGTTTCATACAAGAAAGGCCTTTAGGCCCACTGTTATTCCAACTGTACACAACCGATATTTTTCGGATCTTTCAACGTGGCAGACCATCTCTTTTCACGTACGGTATTACAGTTGCGTTCGCGTTTGTTATTAAAACGATCCAGACTGAATGCAAAAAATGCAGGAGAATTTCTACGCACTTCAAGGTTGGAGGGGATAATTACATTATCAGTTGGCAAATGGAAAGCTCCATATTTTCGATGCAACCTTATTAACGCCCTACTACGGTTAGATAATACGCCAGTAACCTGCTGCACAACGAGCCTTGGCCACGTAGTTTACAAGTTCCCTGAACAACTACCCTATGGCACTGCTAAAGGGAGATTTACTATAGCACGGTATTTTCAATATGTTATGCTTGAAGAACTCTGGATTAGCTATGTATAAAGCAAATGAACAATGATTTACAAAGAGTAAAATGAACGTGCTTGACAAGTCTCATAGGATGGTTAGAATAAAAATTAAAGTAGAAATGATCAAGGAATAAGTAACTCGTCATTTTCAGTGTCTACCGATTTAAATGCACTGCTATATAACAAAGTGTTGAAATTGGCTTGGGATGTACACACACAATATATTAAAAAGAGCAGTTGTGATTCAGTAAATCCATGAGAACTAAAATAGAAAAACGGCGACGTTCACTCTTAGGTTGCTTCATTTGCCAGATGTGATAGGTTTATCCAGTTTAGATATATACCTGACACTCACAAGAAAACTTATGCATGTAGCTTCACCTCAACGTTGCGTTGAGGTCCGTTAAGTACAAGGTTTAGTTTTCGTTATTTCGTCCTCCGTGTGAAATAAAATACATCAAATAATGCAAGTTGGAAAGCGCGCCATCAAGACGTTTTTGGGATAGCGGTAATGTAGTAGCTAGAATGGCGTAATTCAGTAGGGCGTTCTAGGCACGGGACACACGGAGGGAGAAAACGTTTCGTCAACAATCGAGTCGTCTGTAGTGCGTAGCCAGTTTGAATTGTTAGTTTCTCAGCTTAATATTTTCGCTCAGTTCAACAGGCTACGACACGGGTGAATTGGGTTCGTCGTTACTAAGTAAACCGAGATGAGATCACATTGCTGACGTCGATATTCACCACTGTACATCTTCAGGGACTGCAGTCTGCGCTGCAAGGAGAGATGAAACAATCCTGTAAGGAGTTTTGTTGCTCTAAGTTGTGGAGCTTTATGTGCATCAATGTCGCACTTGCTCAATGGAAATCAGACCTGGATTACATTTTCCACGTGGGGCCTCACGTTGGCGTCAGCATTTCGAGAAAGATTGCCGCCTTGGAAGTTATGAATTCCCACTGTAAGAGTGAAAAATGTTGACGGGCTCTTTCCGGTGCATTCCAGCCGGTCTTGAGCAGCCAAGTTCGTCCTGCACGATCACCCCATGGTCGATTTCCTGGGAAGCACGTTGCAAATCTCGGTTCCTAAGCCGATGTTCGTGGGTATGCTAATAGCGTATGCTCACGATTTTGCATTTCGCCACGTTGAACTAAGACAGTTTATCGGATGACCACGTATAAACCCTGTCTAATTTGTTCTGCAATCTTATTTAATCTCTAACGGGCTTGATGTCATGCAAAAATTTGACATTATCTGCATATATTAAGAAATTTGAGTGCAGCACAATGGCAAATAGTTAATGAATGTTAGTACTAAACGCGGTCCCAGTACCGATCCTTGGGGCACAACAAACTGGACGTCAATCGGGTCTGAATTGCAGCTGCGAACTATCACATTCAGCTCACGTTGAGTGAGGAAGTTGCCGTTCTAAACAAGCACAGGGTCACCGAAAATATAGTTACAAAGCTTGCGCTAGAGAATACGATGGTTCAAACCATCGGGCTCTTTCGAAAAGTCCAGATAAACGACATCGATGCGCACTCTGGTATCGACTGACTCCGTCCATTTTGCTCAGGCTAGAAGTAACTTTGTAGTGCAACGTCGATTTCGGCCGAACACGTGTTGTTGGGACACCACAAATGTTGTTGCACCCAAGATATCCCATGAGCGCCTCTGCAATTATAACTTCCATTATTTGGATAAAACTGGGAGGCGAATCATTGGACGATAGTTCGAGGGCTCCAAGCGATTACAACTTCTGTAAATAGGAGCAACTACTTCATGTTTTCACATTGTGGGAAGCTGCATTTCGTCGAGACAACATTGAAAGAACCGAGTTAATGGTTCTGCAGGGTTCATGGCTGCTGTCTTTAATGCCTTCGGTTTGATGTCGTCCATGCCAAGTGAGCTGTGCACGCGCCATTGCATTAGCGTTTTCATCACACTGGCTGCCGTAAACGATACGTGGTTTAACCCTGGTGAAGCGGTGAAATGATGGTTCAATCCGGAAAGTATAGATGAAGTGTTGGGGAAGCACGTTGGCTACATCTTGTGCGGTTTACGCAAGACCACTTGTGGCACGTAAAACCGGGATCCCGCGCTGTACTCTGCGGAGCTTGTTGTTGTGTCTATACAGCCATTGGGGATTTGTACTGAATATCGCCGCTAAGTTCTGTTGTTGCTGGAGTTTGTCTTCGTGGATCAACTTGACGCAGTTGTTTCGTTGACTTGTGTATGCATCCCAGTTCAGATTACTTGGACAGACTTTGTAAGCGCGGCAGGCTTAATCGCTTAAGGCCGTGCATTTTCTAGCAGAACTCCTCAAGAACGAATTCACTTTCTTCGGGTGAAAGAGCCTGCTTTCAGACGCGTTTACTTAATTGGTGGATTGGGCGACAAACATCCTCCAAGTGACATCGAGCGGCTGCTTGACAATGAAGGAATAGTTATTTTCTTGGAAGAGGTCGAACAGGATATCGTAAGGTGTGATGTCATAGGTTTCCACCTTGTTCGCACCGATATGCTCCGAATAACAGATGTAACGACAGAGCAACATCCCGTGATCACTAAGACTATGTGGTGCATCTACGGTCATCGTATCGACCACTACTTCCTTGTTAAGAACCACAAGGTCCAAAACAAATTGTAGGTCTCCTGTTCTTAATCGTGTTGGTAAGCTGACATGGTTGTACCGTTGTACATCGGAGCTTAACTCTTACAAGTCAGGCTTGAATCGTTCGTTTTGCGAACCAAAGACTGATTACTTTTAGGTTGCAGTCCCGCAACAGAAGGAGGTGTTTAGTCATGCCAGGACTCACTTCATCGCAGGAGCTAGACACTGATCCATTTCCAAGGTTGACATTGAAGGACGGTACACTTTTGCCAGTAAACGCACAATGGCACGGCTTAGGTACATAGTAAACCAAGGGAAATCGATGACTTGCTCTTATGGGTTAGCAATGATTTCAAAATACTAGTCAGATCAATCATACATGGGGACCCCGCCACCTCTGCTGCTTCGATCGTTTCGTACGGAAGTTGTGCCATGTAGAGAAATCGCAGCATCGATGATCCACGTGTTCAGCCATGTTTCGGTGACCATAACTAGGTCCCAAAACGTAGTGTCTGACAAATAAGAAGTTTGGTTAGCTTGCTGAGAACATCTTTTTCCTTGCTACACAAGCAGATGAAGACATCCGTGGTTAGAATCGCTTTGGTGATTAATGATTTTCTATCAGGTCTCTGCCGATTTTAAGGCTCACAACTACAGCTCATGGTCGCATATACAACAGAAATCAGAAATAGTAAAATGAGCCGGTATATGACTACTGATTCGACTAGTACAACGTCCAAATACATGAAGATAAATAATCATCCATTATTATGGAATCTGGTCCCATGATCTGAAGCTGTCAATGACAAACCCGTCTTCCTAATTTTTCACTTATACTTAACTGCCTATCAGTAACAATAAGGGCTTCCGTTTTAACTTTAAATCTGGATTCACCTCAGTAGATATATGAAATGGAGACATAATACTGAATCGGGCAGCTTGTTTTCTACGATTTCTGAAGCATCTGCTCCTATGTCTATAAAATTCTAGCCTTTTTCGGGACGCATATGTGCAAGTTGTAATTAATGATGATGTTGCGCTGAACTACTTATTTAGACTTCGTTTGACAATTAAAACTTATTCTTCGTCAATAATTATGTTGCTTTTCAATTTGTCTCCCCATCATTCACTGACAGGCTGATATTTTCCAAAAAATGGACAATTCTCTGACATTGTAGCTAGCGTAAATATATGTTGCTATTGGTTTGTTTGTTTAAATTCTGGACTAGTTATTGTGCACAAAAGGCAAACATTTTAACACAATTCCGTCCTTTTGAATTTTCCATATCAACTACTAGAAAAATTGCGAGAGTGCTTACCAAATGTTTTGCATTTCCTTCAAACAGTTTTCGACATTTTTGAAGCAAACTTTGTTAGACATTCATATGATATTCATTTCAACTGGTAAACATTTTATGGTCATTTTTGTCGCTATTTTGCTTACTAGGTGCTCATTAGGTGCAATTTGAGCAGGAACATCTGAACATGTTTCCATCAATTCATAAAGCAGGATTACACGTCAGCGAATGCTTGAAAGCCTGACTTGGACACTAAAATCCCAGTTTCGCCTTCTGGTCTGACTGCATTGGTTCAGATAGACGGGACATTAGTTAACGGAGTATATAACCCCAGTATATTCTTCTGTATTTCTCTCTGAACTAGGTCCATTACGAAATTGTAATGAACATAATATTATATATATATATATCTATATCTGTTTCACATATGTTGAAGGTACTCATGAAGATATTCTTTACACCATTTACTCTATCATTATGTTGGTATAGACGGCTATATCGTTGAGAAATAAAAGAGTTATTAATGTATTTCTCTAAATCCCATATGCATAGATCAGTCTTCAGTGTACATGTCAGTTACTTCCAATCTGGAAATGGAAGCAATTACCCCGTTAAACGGAAGGAACCTTTTCCCTCTTATTTTACAAGTTACATACAGTTACCTCTCATTGACGAAGTGGAAAGCGACGCGACGGCAGACTAAAATATAAAAACAAACACACGTACAACCCACGATTGCGTTCGGACATCGGAACTTACCGAAAGTAACGTTGATGGTAGACTCGGGCCCACCGGTTATTGAGAAGACAATAACCATCGCGTTTGATTTTCCTTGGATTTCCTGAGGTATTATAGGCGTATCCAGCTGGAAAACATGAATGACTTCTGCACCGCAATCAGAACCGTCTAAAATTCTGGCAAATCCGGTATCCGAATTTATCTGTTGGATGTACACAAACCGAAACCTTTCAACATGTCGTTTGTATCTCTTTCTTATTTAGCAATATGTTAAACTTGTAGCAACTACAAACGGAATGATTTAGTGGGTTGAAACAGCTCAGGATTTATTTGATTACCTAGCGCTTTTGTGCGGATATGAATATATTTTGTTATCAATTATATCCACTTGGGGGCTTGGTGAATATATTTGGAGAGCAGAGTACACTTTGCTTTTGTGTGCAAATGAGATGTGGAAATTTACTACACCGACAACATGGGCTGTTTACAATGTCAGCAACGATGCTGGACAGCACGACAAACTGTTGATATGCACCGCGGTATTCACGCAATTAATCCTGCCTTGCAACTATATCGTTTGTAAGGTACTTTAGAATACAGCGAAATAAGCGGTCTGACTTATTTCGTTCTACAAATTAAAAACGTTAGCTGTTATTTGCGACACAATGTACTTCGTTTGCTGCAATGCTTCACTTGTAGTAGTTCATGCAGATCAGGGGTCAGCAAAATAGTCTGGCGATATTAATTACTCCGGTCCACGGAATATACCCAAATTCGCTTTTGTTAACAAGTATGTAATATGAAAATGCGTGATACAAGTTACATTTACTACTACATCTCGTATAGTCGCTGACATTGAGGTGTTTGAAAAATTGCGTCAACAAGATAATGGTTGCAATTTTTAGCACCGTATCTCCGTAATATCAATGACCTCAAAGCGTTCGAATATTGGGGTGATCAAGCGGACCTACAGCACAATAATATGAACAACCTACAATGCTTCCTTTTCAATCACACTAATGAGCCGCGGTTTTCGGTTAGTAAGCTCACTTGCTACAAGAGTCACGTGCATTGCGGAGCATTCAGTTGTCGTTTTTTGGTATATATATATATATATGTATATATATATATATATACAAATCACGGCATCGCGCCTGGAAGAGATGGGTAACTCGTTTCTACCAAAGGCATGTGCAGGTTTGAAGGTTTCTAACGTTCCTACTTAAATAGATTTAATAGTGGCCAAAAGTTTTTACCAAGCAGTTTCTTTGGCAGACGAATTCCGGACCAGTAAAGCAACTCGTTTTTATTCTTGAGCAACTATAAGGTTAAAATATCATATACCAACTAACGACGGTTTAATTCTCAGCAATGCATATATATATCGTGCAAACGTTATTATAGGTTGCATTCAAACACCTGAGGTGCCTACGTAATGTACATAAAATTTCGATCATACGCACACACCGATTAATCGATTAGGCGCCGGTCATTCACCCGTGGGCGAATCTTCACCTATGAGCTGCACCACCGAAACCTTGCTTAAATCTGAGAACCTTCATCTATGTACAATAACCCTAAGGGCTCTTCAGTAAAATTACCGAACTTTGGCTACTTCACATTGTGAATACTTGGGACCTGCTTTCTGTTATCAAAGCTCGGTTACACCAAGAGGTGACTTATGTTAAGTTTGAGATAGCCGGAGTGTCACTCAACCGGAACGACCGCCCAAGCAGAGGAGTTGGGGTCCCACTCAACTTCTGAAGCGATCTGCAATGTATGATACTTGATGATCTGGAAACACACCATACCGACGCAATCTGGCGCCGTCTCCGACTGAGACACAACGACACATGTCTCGTAGCCGTCGTTTAATGCCCCCAATGTCCACTCCGGAGATGGACTTACGTTTGATACGTGGCCTGAACAGAGTAACACGCAAAAGGTACAGGCACATTCCCATCTCCGGGGACTTCAATCTAAGCAATCTGGCGGTTTCGACATCACCCAGTGAGCAGTTAATAGCAGACTTGCATGAACTGATCGCTAATATTCCCTTGTACATTCACGTCACCACAGCCACTAGCTTCAGAACAACAAACAAACAGTCCATATTGGACCTTGTGCTCACTAATGAAGAGTTCATGGTTGACAAGTTATTGATGAATAGTCCATTAGGCCTCAGTGACTATGTAGTAATAACGTTCAGCTGTGTGTTATGCAGAGTACCTAACTGAACACTCGAAACTAACTCAAACCATCATACGCCACCACATGATGTAAGAACTGGTCGACGCATCTGCTTGAGAATTCTCAAACAACAGTCCACTTGAAACATTTGGACGGAGCTCCTTGAGACTCAGCGACATGGTCAACGGGGCTTCAGAGATCAAGTCCCTTCGTCCCGTAAAATATCTTCTATTCCAGGGCGCAGGACTCGAAAACGTCTGGGGATAACGCATTTGGCATGGCGTGCCTATAAGCGTAACCCCGACTCAGAAATTGGGGCAATTTCCTGACCTATCACAACCACCACACTGCGTTTGTCCGTGAAGACAAAGAATTTTAGAAACAGAGCCTAGCCAAAACTTCTTGACAAACAACATACTGGTGGATAAGTATGTCAACTATCTTCACAAAGTATGCATGGCATCCCATCAGTTTTCACGACAGGCGGTAGAGTACAAAACGACTAAGGAGCAGATATTGCCCTGCAGCTACAATACGCCCCCATATGTTGAACTCGCAGCCTCTACCTATCTCCAAATTTCCTACATCTTACCAGCTCCATTGTTTACAAATGTAACGTTCAACCAATCAGTTGTGTAAAGGAAGTTATTCTTATTGCAAAATCATAGCTCTCCGGGAGCAGGCAACATCCGCCCGAAACACTGATGGCTGCGGTCATCAGGTTAGCTGAACAATTGTCACAGTTTTTCAAACGTGCTTTGATGAACTGCAAGACTAAACTATGTGGAAATGTGGCATTATCATCTCAAATTTTAAAGTCGGTACTCGTTCAGAGTCTGCAAACTATCGGCCAGTGATTCGCCTCCCAGTGTTCGCGAACGTGGTGGAAGCGATCGTCGTTGAGGCTCTACTAGACTATCTGGAGAATTGCAACCTATTGGCACCGGAGCAGCATGGCTTCCGTCAACACTGGTCATGCACCATCAAACGGCTGATTGCTCGAGGTGGTTGGACGAAAGTGCGTGATGAAAGTGACGGAGATGACGTCATCTACCTGGATATCTCCAGAGTTTCCAACCGCCTGGATCACCGTATCCTATTTTACCGGCCGCAGAGCTACGGAATCGGAGATCCGGAGTTTGGTTGGATTGGTAACTTTCTTCACCAACGGAAGCTTCAACTGCGGGTTGGTAGATCTCTCTCTAACCGCATTGTGGTGAAATATAGTGTTTCACATGGCTCCGTGCTGGGATCGCGCTTGTTCATGATGTTTGTCATAGACCTAGCAGGTGAACTCCTCTAATTTCCTGATTTTCGCTGATAACGTCAAGGTATAGTTGGTGATTATTAATGATAAAGATCATGATATACTCCATCATAACCAGGATTGCATTTATCAGTGGTCAAAGAGTAACTTTTTCAATTAAACATAGCTAAGTGCAAGGTTATCAATCTGCGTCAACAGAACGTGAACGCTTGCAACATTGGAGACCACACCTTTGAGAAGGTCTCCCATGAGCTTGACGTGGATGTATTTCTACAGGTTTTCGGGTGCTCAAAACAAGCAGATAAGGCGACAAGTACCGGCGATCAAAACTTCCGCCTGCTTCGCAGAGCGTTCGGCCAGTTTGAACCCTCAAACTTCCCCTATATGTTAAACACCTATGTCCGACCGCACGTAGAATACGCTATCCAGGCGTAGCAGCCGTGGCAGAAACAGGATATCCTTGCCCCTTGACACCTCACAGAAAGGCCATCAAGTAGGTCAGGAACCACATTCGTCTACGCTATCAGCTTAGATTAAAAACTCTAAGAATGTACAGCAGTCGCTATCGGCTTTTGCGGGGGGATCTCATAATGGTTTACCAAATTCTGAAGAACCCAAACCACATTTGCCGCCCGCTGCTGAAATTGAACCATAATACGAAACTAAGAGGTCATCCTCTACATCTGACAAAAGAGTATAGCCGGCTTGAATGTCGTAGACGTTTCTTATCCCTCGGCCTGAGCTAACCTTGGAAGGCTCACCCTAATTATGTCGTTGAATGCTCCCAATCTAGCGATTTTAAAATAGCATTGATAATGAGTTGTCTCTTTTGCATGTCCTTTTATAACTTATTAGCTAGGGGCTACAAAACGCAATCAAAGAGTGTTTTACCATAATCCTAACCAATGGATTTATGAAGTTCTGCTTCTAATACGCGAAAATCTCCGCTATTCTATATAACTCGATATTGAGTTCACCAAAACGCTTTTCAGTTTATTATGCACTTTTTGCACTAATTTCTATCTCACGTGATTCGTTAAGCAATGTTTTTAACCGGATTATACCATAGTTTCTTTGTAGAAAAATTTAAGCTAGATCCCTGGTTCTTTCTAATTTCGAAATCTTAAGTAATTTTAATATGTTAGCTATCCAATATTTGTGCATTTAGCTTTCCCCAGATGTACTAATTACTACTAAAAATAGAAACGGGTTTAGTTATTCCATTCAATATTTTATTGCTGGCATGAAAGTCTTGTTTAAAGCGTGGATTATCGTTTGAAACTAAGCAAGGTTCCAACACAATGTGATCAAGGTACGTGTTTGCTCGCAGCCATTGAATTACTCCAACTCTATCGGCGTCGTTTCATATATTGCCCTTAGAGCAGTACGCGCAGGTCCAGTTCCTGACCTCTCCGCAATGATTATGACTGATTCAACCTCCATATATTTATGCAATTTTTTCCCCTCCAACCGGTCCGTATTACGCTGCACAGTCGAACCTGGTGTCTGGAACCGGATGGACAGTACTAATGTGTAGAATGATTTGATGACTAACGTTAAGCACGTCTTTACTTGTCCGGCTCGCGCCAGTCACATTTTACTTAGCTGGCCCGTTGTGAAAAGCGTTAGGCGAACCCGGAAACATGCGAATTATGGTGATGATGATGTCTGATGATGTCTGAAAATCGGTGCCGGTAGTTTAGATTCTGGGTGAATAAAATTGCTAGACTCTGCAATAGTTTGCA